TAAACGGTTAGAGATACAGGCTTCGGACAGGTACCAAATTAAAGCCCTTTCAAAACCCTACATTTTGGACTACAATGACGACCCTCTACTCCCAATAGAAGCGGAGATATCGACGGATGAAGGCTGGATATCGACGGAGAAAGGTTAGAAAACTTTAACCTTCGATATCTCCTAAACGGTTAGAGATACAGGCTTCGGACAGGTACCAAATTAAAGCCCTTTCAAAACCCTACATTTTGGACTACAATGGCGACCCTCTACTCCCAATAGAAGCGGAGATATCGACGAATGAAGGCTGGATATCGACGGAGAAAGGTTAGAAAACTTTAACCTTCGATATCTCCTAAACGGTTAGAGATACAGGCTTCGGACAGGTACCAAATTAAAGCCCTTTCAAAACCCTACATTTTGGACTACAATGACGACCCTCTACTCCCAATAGAAGCTGAGATATCGACGGATGAAGGCTGGATATCGACGGAGAAAGGTTAGAAAACTTTAACCTTCGATATCTCCTAAACGGTTAGAGATACAGGCTTCGGACAGGTACCAAATTAAAGCCCTCTCAAAACCCTACATTTTGGACTACAATGACGACCCTCTACTCACAATAGAAGCGGAGATATCGACGGATGAAGGCTGGATATCGACGGAGAAAGGTTAGAAAACTTTAACCTTCGATATCTCCTAAACGGTTAGAGATACAGGCTTCGGACAGGTACCAAATTAAAGCCCTTTCAAAACCCTACATTTTGGACTACAATGGCGACCCTCTACTCCCAATAGAAGCGGAGATATCGACGAATGAAGGCTGGATATCGACGGAGAAAGGTTAGAAAACTTTAACCTTCGATATCTCCTAAACGGTTAGAGATACAGGCTTCGGACAGGTACCAAATTAAAGCCCTTTCAAAAACCCTACATTTTGGACTACAATGACGACCCTCTACTCCCAATAGAAGCGGAGATATCGACGGATGAAGGCTGGATATCGACGGAGAAAGGTTAGAAAACTTTAACCTTCGATATCTCCTAAACGGTTAGAGATACAGGCTTCGGACAGGTACCAAATTAAAGCCCTTTCAAAACCCTACATTTTGGACTACAATGACGACCCTCTACTCCCAATAGAAGCGGAGATATCGACGGATGAAGGCTGGATATCGACGGAGAAAGGTTAGAAAACTTTAACCTTCGATATCTCCTAAACGGTTAGAGATACAGGCTTCGGACAGGTACCAAATTAAAGCCCTTTCAAAACCCTACATTTTGGACTACATGGACGACCCTCTACTCCCAATAGAAGCGGAGATATCGACGAATGAAGGCTGGATATCGACGGAGAAAGGTTGAAAACTTTAACCTTCGATATCTCCTAAACGGTTAGAGATACAGGCTTCGGACAGGTACCAAATTAAAGCCCTTTCAAAACCCTACATTTTGGACTACAATGACGACCCTCTACTCCCAATAGAAGCGGAGATATCGACGGATGAAGGCTGGATATCGACGGAGAAAGGTTAGAAAACTTTAACCTTCGATATCTCCTAAACGGTTAGAGATACAGGCTTCGGACAGGTACCAAATTAAAGCCCTTTCAAAACCCTACATTTTGGACTACAATGGCGACCCTCTACTCCCAATAGAAGCGGAGATATCGACGAATGAAGGCTGGATATCGACGGAGAAAGGTTAGAAAACTTTAACCTTCGATATCTCCTAAACGGTTAGAGATACAGGCTTCGGACAGGTACCAAATTAAAGCCCTTTCAAAACCCTACATTTTGGACTACAATGACGACCCTCTACTCCCAATAGAAGCGGAGATATCGACGGATGAAGGCTGGATATCGACGGAGAAAGGTTAGAAAACTTTAACCTTCGATATCTCCTAAACGGTTAGAGATACAGGCTTCGGACAGGTACCAAATTAAAGCCCTTTCAAAACCCTACATTTTGGACTACAATGACGACCCTCTACTCCCAATAGAAGCGGAGATATCGACGGATGAAGGCTGGAAATCGACGGAGAAAGGTTAGAAAACTTTAACCTTCGATATCTCCTAAACGGTTAGAGATACAGGCTTCGGACAGGTACCAAATTAAAGCCCTTTCAAAACCCTACATTTTGGACTACATGGACGACTCTCTACTCCCAGTAGAAGCGGAGATATCGACGGAGAAAGGTTGGAAATCTTCAACCTTCGATATCTCCTAAACGGTTAGAGATACAGGCTTCGGACAGGTACCAAATTAAACCCCTTTCAAAACCCTACATTTTGGACTACATGGACGACCCTCTACTCCCAGTAGAAGCGGAGATATCGACGGATGAAGGCTGGATATCGACGGAGAAAGGTTGGAAAACATTAACCTTCGATATCTCCTAAACGGTTAGAGATACAGGCTTCGGACTGGTACCAAATTAAAGCCCTTTCAAAACCCTACATTTTGGACTACATGTACGACTCTCTACTCCCAGTAGAAGTGGAGATATCGACGGAGAAAGGTTGGAAATTTTCAACCTTCGATATCTCCTAAACGGTTAGAGATACAGGCTTCGGACAGGTACCAAATTAAAGCCCTTTCAAAACCCTACATTTTGGACTACATGGACGACTCTCTACTCCCAGTAGAAGCGGAGATATCGACGGATGAAGGCTGGATATCGACGGAGAAAGGTTAGAAATCTTTAAACTTCGATATCTCCTAAACGGTTAGAGATACAGGCTTCGGACAGGTACCAAATTAAAGCCCTTTCAAAACCCTACATTTTGGACTACATGGACGACCCTCTACTCCCAGTAGAAGCGGAGATATCGACGGATGAAGGCTGGATATCGACGGAGAAAGGTTGGAAAACTTTAACCTTCGATATCTCCTAAACGGTTAGAGATACAGGCTTCGGACTGGTACCAAATTAAAGCCCTTTCAAAACCCTACATTTTGGACTACATGTACGACTCTCTACTCCCAGTAGAAGCGGAGATATCGACGGAGAAAGGTTGGAAATCTTCAACCTTCGATATCTCCTAAACGGTTAGAGATACAGGCTTCGGAGAGGTACCAAATTAAAGCCCTCCCAAAACCCTACATTTTGGACTACATGGACGACCCTCTACTCCCAGTAGAAGCGGAGATATCGACGGATGAAGGCTGGATATCGACGGAGAAAGGTTGGAAAACTTTAACCTTCGATATCTCCTAAACGGTTAGAGATACAGGCTTCGGAGAGGTACCAAATTAAAGCCCTTTCAAAACCCTACGTTTTGGACTACATGGACGACCCTCTACTCCCAGTAGAAGCGGAGATATCGACGGATGAAGGCTTGATATCGACGGAGAAAGGTTTGGACAACTTTAACCTTCGATATTTCCTAAACGGTTAGAGATACAGGCCTGGTTCTGGCACCAAATTAAAGTCCTTTCAAAACCCTACATTTCAAAACCCTACGTTTTCGACTACATGGACGACTCTCTACTCCCAGCAGAAGCGGAGATATCGACGGAGGAAGGCTTGATATCGACGGAGAAAGGCTGGAAAACTTTAAACTTCGATATCTCCTAAACGGTTAGAGATACAGGCCTGGTTCTGGCACCAAATTAAAGTCCTCTCAAAACCCTGCATTTTGCCGTAAGTGGCGACTCTCTACTCCCAGTAGAAGCGGAGATATCAACGTAGAAAGGTTGGAAAACTTTAACCTTCGATATCTCCTAAACGGTTAGAGATACAGGCCTGGTTCTGGCACCAAATTAAAGTCCTTTCAAAACCCTACATTTCAAAACCCTACATTTTCGACTACATGGACGACTCTCTACTCCCAGCAGAAGCGGAGATATCGACGGAGGAAGGCTGGATATCGACGGAGAAAGGCTGGAAAACTTTAAACTTCGATATCTCCTAAACGGTTAGAGATACAGGCCTCGTTCTGGCACCAAATTAAAGTCCTCTCAAAACCCTATATTTTGCCGTAAGTGGCGACTCTCTACTCCCAGTAGAAGCGGAGATATCAACGCAGAAAGGTTGGAAAACTTTAACCTTCGATAACTCCTAAACGGTTAGAGATACAGGCCTGGTTCTGGCGCCAAATTAAAGTCCTCTCAAAACCCTACATTTTCCCGTAAATGACGACTCTACTTCAGTGGAAGCGTAGATATCAACGGTACAATTTGGGAAACTTTAACCTTCGATGTCTCCTAAACAGCTAGAGATACAGGCCTGTTTTTGGCACCAAAATGTAGTCCTCTAAAGACCCTACATTTTTCCCTGAATTACGACTCTCAACTCCCAGTAGAAGCGGAGATATCAACGATACAAGTTGGAAAACTTTAACCTTCGATATCTCCTAAACGGCTTGAGGTACAGGCCTGTTTTTTTGCGTCAATATAGTCCGGTATCAGCTCTATTCTCACCATAAATGTCAACTCTCAATTCCCAGTAGAAACGGAGATATCAACGACACATTTGAAAAATTTTAACCTTCGATAGCTTCTAAACAATTGTACATTCGGGAACGCGCTTTTGCCACAATATAATCCTGTATCAACCCTATTCTCTATAATGCTGGACTCTCAATTCCCAGTAGAAATGAGGATATTAACAGAGAAATTGGAAAATTTTAACCTTCGGTATTTCCGAATCAGGTGAAGATACAGGTACGCGTCTTTGTCTCGCAAACGGCTCAAACTGCAGGGACGTACTTTACCACAATGTAGTCCTAAATTAACCCTAATCTCAGCATGAAGCTTCTTGCACAATAGATTATTCTTGTAATTGTCGATTATGATTGGGTTATTTTTATTCTTATTGCCTATTGCTTGGCATTGTGCAAAGGGCCTGAAGCTTGATTTTCTATATAGCATCGTAGTTCCCCTTTAGAAATGGATGCAGATGGCGCCTTTTCGCAGTGAGGAAAGTCGGTGTCGAAAACGTGTTGGTCGCTTTCACGTTCCTCTGATGTGAAGTGTAGCAATATGACTCAGGACTCAAGGGCTGGGTAGATGGGTTTTTATTATTATTATCCAGTAATACGACTCAGCGATAAAGCGGACAACCTTTCGTTTATTACGTACCTTTCGTATATTACGACTTGCCATATATTTTTAATTTAAATAGTGCGACTCAAGGGGAGATCGGCAGGAATATCCTCTTCAAGCAGTAATGCTCATGGACAGATCTTTATTTGCAAAAGAAGGCATTATTCATTTCTGTGAATGCTTGGTGTCATTGCGCTTGCGCGGGGTCGTCTCTCTCCATCTAGCAACACTGCGTACTACTTGATGTTGAACCGTGTGACACGGTAGTTGTATTCAATATTAATAACCACTAAAAATGGAGATACCAGTTACGTATTGCTTGTGCGGTCGCCCATACGATCCTGAGCAATTTATGATACAATGTGACGTGTGCAAGGAATGGTACCATGGCGGGTAAGCATTTGTGAGCTCATTAAAATACGTGGAGCATGCGAAACTCAGCGTTCTCGACACGGTGACACTCGACTACAGAGACTACGGATTTTCGTGATTTTTCGTAAACTCGAAAGTTTCCTTCGCATCAAATTACGTCTCGAAGATCTTCCGCTCGGTCAGGGTCAGTAACGAGTACAAGATGTGGCACTGGTTCAATGATATTGTATCGTAAACAACGTTTTGTTGATAGTGACATAACCTGTGCTGCGTTCTAATCGGCCTCCATACCGCGCATATTTTTCACGTTATCGGTATCATTTCACGTAATAAAGGCAGCCCGTGACGATTAAATTATTGTGACCGGAGATATGCTTGTTTATGTCCACATTGGGGTCTTTAAAGTTGATCATAAAATATATATATGTTATAGCTATTAGCGTTGCGATTGCATGTAATATGATGCATAATTATCATGGTATTCCTGTGAAAGTTAACAACTTATCGTATCCTTTTCCAGATGTGTGGCAATAAAGGAATATATGGCCATAGAGTTTGACAAATATCACTGTCCACGCTGTCAAGCTATGTGTGGTCCTTCAATCAGTAAGATTGCATTGTTATTATAGATATTTCATGTATATTTTGCAAACAATATTGTTGTTACTAATATCTACCTGTTTCATTTTACAGTGAAAGTCAGAACAAACTGGCATAGACACGATTATTCCGAATACAATGCGGACACAAAACCTGTTCAGACAGGAACTCCGGTGTTTATAAGAGAGCTGAAGACTAGACACTTTCCTAAGGCTGATGAAGTTGTCAAGCATCTAAAAGGACACCAATTAACTCTTCAATATTTACAAACAAATGGTTTTGAAAATCCTATAATTATCGATGGAAAAGAAGGTCTTGACATGACACTACCACCTTCCAACTTTAGTGTTGCAAATGTTGAAAACTACATAGGTAAGATATACAGATGGCACAAAAGTATCTTGATTGGACAATGACTATTAAATTGTGTAAAACATTTTATCTTGTATCATAAATGTGCAAAGTTGACTTTAATATTGCTTGATTTTCTCTCAGGTGGTGATCGGTACATGGATGTAATTGATGTCACTAGACAGAGTAACATACGTATGAAATTGACGGATTTTGTAGAATATTTTACTTCTTCTTCTCGTTCAAGTACAAGGATACTTAATCTCATAAGTCTTGAATTTACTAACACCGGGTACATTGCTATTCATTGTCTTGTGAATACAATGTTGTAAGTATTTTCTAGAGCTTGATTTATTAATAAATGACTTAAACTTTGTAGTCTTTCACCGCTGGTCGAAGCACCGTGCATTGCACGCAAGCTAGACTGGGTGACCACGGCTTGGCCACGCGATTGGCCCGAGGACAGTGATATAAAGCGACCCGAAGTGCAAAAGTACTGCCTAATGGGCGTCAAAGACAGTTTCACTGACTTTCACATTGACTTCGGCGGCACGTCCGTGTGGTATCACGTGTTGCGTGGCGAAAAAGTGTTTTATCTCATCAAACCGACGGCAGCAAACATACAATTGTACCAGCATTGGATGTGCAGCTCTACGCAGAGTGAGACCTTCTTCGGGGACCAGGCTGATGCGTGTTACAAATGCACTCTTAAGCAAGGCCAAACAATGATGATTCCTACAGGCTGGATACACGCTGTGTTCACGCCGGTGGATTCTTTGGTTTTCGGCGGGAACTTTTTGCACAGTCTCAACATTCCAATGCAGATACAGTGAGTATGCGGAAATTCACCAAATCACAATTGATCAGAGATAGAGAGAGAGAGAGTGAGAGTGGGAGAGACAGAGAATACCTTTAATTCGCTTTATCCGTGAAATTTGCAGGATATACGAGCTGGAGAGAAAAATGAAGACCCCAGCGAAATTTCAGTATCCCGGATTCGAGACGATTAATTGGTTCGCCGCTAAGAAGATGCTGAAGGAGCTGAAGGAACTGAATAACGAGGGCAAGAAATGCCCGCAGTATCATCTACAAGGCATAAAGGCGATGCTCGGGATTCTCAAGCAGTGGAACACGGACAAGGATGTAAGTTAAGTTGTATTTTGTGCTCTTTTTCATTTCATTTTGTGCTCAGCTTTGATCAAAGAACGCAAGCAGCCGAACAAGGACAAAGCGTTACAAAAGCGACGTGTGTTTTCAGTACAACATGATTAGTCGCGGCCAAATACCGGAGACGATAAACAGCCAGAAGCTGTTGAAGGACCTCAGCAAGGAGATACGACATGCGGAACGTTACTTAATATCCCTGAACCCACCGAAGCCGGAACGCGAGAGTAAACGGAAGAAGAAGAAGCCGCTGAACAAGGACTTCGTTGTGGACTTTGATTTCGCCGACAAGATGACCGACAATCCGTTCAAGGCGACGTTGAAGGAAACAAACAAGACGGAAGCAGCGGAGGCGCCGTTGCCGGCGAACAACAACAGACCACCGTTGAAGCTGACTCTACCGAAACCCGTCGCGTACCCCAACACCAAGTCGACCGTCGCGGAAAAACCGCCCGCCTCCGGCAACAAGCGGGCGTCCAAGCCGGGCAAACAGAGCCCCACTGTGATTAGATTTAAGCTCGGCAACAACGAGGTTGTCAGAAGTACAAATGACAATATCAACGTATACGGCAACGCGGTGACCGGCCACACGACGATGGAGACCATGAAGGAGCAGCAGCCGCTCGTATGGAAGCAGACGTCGGTGTACGATTTCCACGACGGCAGCAACGAGAGTGACTACGGCAGATTCACGATAGACGAGTCGCAGAAGCGGAAGCGGACGTCCCGGGCGAACCCACCGAAGCAGTTCAAGCATGACTACGACGGGAACGTCGACATACTGAACGACACGCCGAAGAACGGCATAGAGGAGCTGCTGAAGGCGTCCGCGTACACGCTCGGCAACGGCACTCAGCGAATAGATGTTGCGTATGTATACCCTCGATCTACTACGAATACGTCGACGACACCGCCGTGTCGCGCGATACTTACGTGACGTAAAATAATTTTAGGCCTTCGACTACGATTCCGCAGTACAGTCAACCTATGCCGCCTCCCACTGGGTAATTTAATCCGCTATTGTCGATGGAGAACTGATATTCGTGTGTTAGACTTTAAAACGGTCGACTCGCTACGCTGATACGTTGATCTTGATCTTGAGCAGCGAGTAATTGATAAGAGGCTTCGCCGAGCACTCGAGTAGCGACGTTTGTTTCTCGTTAGGGAATTTCTTTAGCATGTAGTCGCATATAGGGCAGTGCATTTCATTTTTCTTGGTGTCTTAGTATTTATAAATTGAAAACGCTCAGTTCCGACAGGGCGTCACCATCCACGCGGGAGGCGATCGCCGGCATGTTGTCGTTCAGCGAGCAGTGTTACTCGACGACGAGCGACCCCGCAAAGTCGTCGAGACTGGTCAAAACGCAGCGTGACAACAACGACGACGACGACGACGATCAGTTGATAGAAAATATCGACAAGGTTCACCAGGACGATGATTTCAGTACGTATGCTTCGAGAAGAGATCCTTTCCTTTTTTAATATTTAAGCCTAAAGAGGGATACCCTGTTGCATCTTTAAAACTAAAAGGATGTTTCGAATGAAGAGGCTTAATGATCCACCACTCTCTGTATTTATAACTTCCCTCACGAAAAAGTTACTAAAGGACTTTTCGTCGCCCGCAGTTTATCCAGCTCTGGACGCATCCGACGACGAGGAGTACAGCTTCAAACCTAAGGCGAAGAGTCAGATCGACGAAGCGTGGAATCCAAAGGCCAGGGTGGGTCCTCTTCTACCGAAGACGAATCGGCCAGCGCGGGAAGGCGTGAAGAAGACGTCCGTGGAGAAGGGCTTGGAAGCAGCCGCGGCGAAGCGAGCGAAACAATCGGTGAGTATCAGCTGTGTATCTTGCGTAAACGTTACATACACATTTTATTGTTTTCGCACATCATCGATTATCGTAGATTTCATACGTGTTACGAATTAATTCAGCATGCGACTGATGCGTTCGTAACAATGCAAAATGTTCTTTCGTTTCCTGTATTTTTTCTTTTTTTCGTTATCACTTTTCATTCAATAAATGTTTTATCACTTACGATCTCCCCTAAACATCATAATTTCGTGTTTCTTGCATATACATTTCATACAGGATGAATACCTGGATAACGACATGGACAAGATTACCAAGAAGAAATTGGTAGGCATTACTTCGATCATTACAGCTCGATCTAAAGATCCTTGTAGTAGCTTTACTTTTTGCCGCGTTTTTCTTTTTTTCTCTTTAATCACCTATCGAGTACCTTGTAGTTACGATTACGTTCTTTGTTGAGTATACTTATACTTCGCGTTTAACGCTTTACTATTTTAGCAGTAGTAAGACTGTCAAATGAAATCTCTCACGAAGCATCTTGTCTTGTTGTACGTGAACATGTCGCGATCTGTGAATGCGTCTTCTTATTTTTCGATATTGTTTACATGCACTCTCGTTTCCCTTTCATCGCACATTCGTAACGATCAGCTGTAGTTTGCCACCATTAATCCGTAGGAAATGTTCTTGGTGATCCTCATCTCTCTGTATATCCTCCTTATATTCGTCCATTACTTTTCACTTTCACTTTCGTGTTACTGTCACTAAATCCAAGAGACTAATAGCTCACGTTGTATTTTACGCGTGCTGTCAGGGTACTGCCAAACGGACGTACAATAAGAGGAAGCAAAAGGATCCTGCGGTGAGCGCGGTAGGAACCGCGTCCACCGCACCGTCTGAAAACGTTATCAAATCGTCCATCGGATGCGGATCGATTCTGACGAGTCCCAACAGACTTAGGGATGTCAAAGCGAAGCTTGCGGCTCCGGTTCCCGTTGGTAAAGTATCTCGAGCTTTGTCCTCCGTTTACCTTCTTATTGTAAATTATTAGTTACAATTGTCCGATCTTGTTCGTGTTTGTAGAACGCAAACAGAGAAAGGGGATGAAAACGGCGAAGCAACGTCTGGGGAAGATCCTGAAGATCCACAAAATGATGCACTAGGTAAAATTAAGATAATATTATGTAAGAGGAAAAGCAACACGTCATTTTTCACTTGTGTATAAAAATCGTGTAATAGTTGTACATTATAATTGTAAATATAAACGAATTTTTTCCATCAGGGTGATGCGTACATTCACCTTATAAAATGAAAAAGCAAAATGGGGGAAAAAAAAAGAAAGGATCTAGTTTTAAAGATTAGCGCCGTTTTCTAAAAGATACTTATATTTATTACTGCGTCGTTTAATTTTAGGTGGATATTTAACGACTTTTGATATCTCGATATTTCAGTAAGACAATATTTACATTGTAACAATGGCTTACTGATGCTTTACGTGACGCGACGTAACAGTTCAGTTGACAACGACACGTTGATGGCGAAGGGAAAACTATATCAACCTACAGTTTGTAATGTATACACCTTATTATTTGGATATAACCGCAGTTTAATTTATGGATACCGGTGTCAGGCAAAATAAATTATGATTCTTAAGGGAGTACGAACGAGACATTGAGTTTGCATGCATTTGCGTTTGTATTAGCGTACATGAAATACACGTGCTGATGTAAGCATACACGCTTGTCCTGAGAGAGTAACCATGTATTTTGCCTAACGCTAATGGCCATAACTTCGAAGTTGTAGACTCTTACGATCGACTTGTTAACAATGTCCTACAAGTTGCACTCTCAGCGTTCTTCATCGCTAGCAAGTTCCTGGATAGAGAGATCGATTGTAAGAGACGTTCACTTCCAAGTTTTGCTTATGATTGATAGCAGATAAAACAAGCTTAACGATGACACAGCAGGAAGGAAACTAATATTTTATTTTACATTGACAAAAGAATCTCTTATTTTATTTTCCTCTTTCTCGAATCAGTTCTACCTTATTTGAGATGTAAAGATCAGAAGTGATACCTATCTTTTTACATATGTTGTGTAGCACTTTACACAGTTATTCTTAGTGACGTTGCCGTTTAGTTTAAACATCACAGAGAGGCTGTAGGATACTGATTTAGTTTTCTATATATATATATACTTGTTATAAAAATAAAACAAAAAGATTATATCTGCCAGTGAAACGTTTTGTATGTAACTTACAGATACGGTAAGGTGTACCTTGATCGTTACTGCGGAATACTAAGCGTACTAAAGTAGCGTAAGAAATCTTATCGATTGTTGTATCGCACAGGAAATTGAGTTACCTAATACATTGTACCTGTTTCCTATGATACAAAGTACGAGGTACGTGAAGGCATAAAATATTCGGACATTCATGACGGTTTCGCGAAATAGAGGGAAATTATCCGCGAATTACGGATTATTTCTATTTAATAATAAATAAGACCTTCGGAGTTGCTGATGACTCGAGAACGTCAACGGCAACTTTGCGCGGAAACAACGGGGAAAAATATGTTTTCTACTTCACGACGACTCACGTTGAAATTAGCCCGGGAAATAAAATTGTTTATATTCACGCTTCCTTCATTCCCTCTGTCATAAATCTTCTTCTCACGCAAGTACACCCGAAGAATCGCGATTTGGTTAATGTTATGGTATTTCAAGTTTTTCGTGGAAGCAATATCGTATGATTTTATTGATGTCGATGACTTCTTGTTTACAAGCTTTATGAATTTAGACATAAGCGCGCAAGCTGAAATTATGTATTGATGTAAGATTTATAAACGTTGAGAGATGACAAAAAGTTCACTTCGTATTCCACTAATGTTATAACGATTAAAACTACTTACACACAGTTTAGTTTGTATTAACGTAGATCGCGATAAGTATTGCGAATTATATTTACCTTACTGTTAGTAGGACACAACTGTATAATTTATAAGTTGCTGAAACGTGTGTCGAGCAGTTATTGTAGGAACTTGCAACATCTAACGTGTCTCAAATAATTGACATCCTTGATGCATTAGTCAAATTTTTACACGACCCTGCATATTACGGTACACACCGATCATGCATCTGAGCGTTGTCGATTTGACACATACACTTGTTTCCGTTATCTTTAAAGTGTGACGTCGTTTCGTCTCTTGCAACAGTAATTTACGTTGCAAAGACCAAGCTACACCAAGCTTATTTTTGCAATTAAGTGCAATTGTTTGACAAGTTATTGATTGTAAGTATCTTGATTGTAAGAAAGTAAGATTGTATGTATCGTGTCTTGTAAGATTTACGTACGTGTATGTATATTTACATGTATGTAAAAATTATACACTTTGCATCGTCTTATAAGATACACATACATATACACACATATATATATAGAAACATATATATTTTTTTACAGAGCATTCACCTTGTTAATTTGTATCGTGTCTCACTTTATATATATATACGCATATTTATTTAACATCTTCACTCTCATTGTGTGTCTTTGTTCAGTCTAACAACATTCTTCGCAAACATTGTATATTCTCATGTCACTTTGTCACATCGGATCGACGTGAACGCGCGATTAAAGATTTAAATCGGAGTCCCCGCAAAAACGAGTCTACGTAATTTGTACGCGAAATATGAATTTGTAGACTTTTACCACCAAGGATCGGTATATTTCAAATGTGTTCACTAAATTATAGACTATAATCTCGCAGGTTTTAATGTTCGATGCCGAATACATTATTGCGAAACTGAAGATGAAAAGAAAAAGAAAAGAGAGTTAAATATATATCAGGGATGAAAGTAAATAACATTTATTTTCATGATGCGCTCTTTATTCGTCGCTCATAGGAGTATGTAGCACTTTCTATGTACAATAGAGTATACTCGTCGAGGTGTAAGTACTTTAAGATTATTAGATCGATCTAATGAGATGAAAACAGCTCCGTAGACGATTTTCGAACGCTTTTTTAATGCAAATTGAACAGAAATTTATAAGGATGTACTGTTAAATTAATGCTTCCATAGCATCACGATGCGCACTTGTGTTGGTGGGAAGTGAAGCAAGAGCAAAATGTATTTTTGAGGGAAATCTTGTCAGAGCTAGAGTGCGGGTACATGCAACTACTTGTCTCGAATGCGCAGCATCTTTTCATCTTATTGATATTCAAATTTCTTATCTCATTATTATTCTCTCCGTAGAGTCTAAATTTGTCACGACGACTCTTTAGAATTTATGCGGATTACCGACTTTTGGCGGTTACTCGCGCGAGAGCCGTGAAACATTGTTCAAAAGACGACGCAGAGAGGCGTCTGACTCGAGCCGTGTCGAACCAATCACGATTGTACCTCGCATCGTGAAACAACAGAACAATTTTTCATCGTGTTCGTATTGCCGAATAAAATGTTGGACTCATTCGATGATTCGTGCTTTCTCGTCTCTCCTCTGTCTTCTCTCCCCTCTATTATTATCTAGCCACGATAGATGCATATAACATAAAAAAATAATCGTCACAAACTACGCAATAATTCAGACTATTAAGGAACAGAAAAGGGAAGAAGAAACGTGTCAGAGAATACAAAAAGCGCGCCTGAAAAAAAAATATGGCGTGAGAGATAACGGCCACTCGAGAGTTCGGTGATTTATTACATTCGTACTTATATCGATGCATGAAATAACGGTCATGAGAAATTTCGGAAATTTACGTGGAAAGCAAAAAATTAAATACTACCAGCGGTATTTAATCGTGAAAATTAACGTTTCGGAGCAAATAACATTCACGGGGTACAATCTGCCGGCTTACAAGTAAACCTCGGGAAACGGCAGACGCCGATCTGTTTCCAATTTTTTATAGTCCAATTTTTAATGTCAAAATATAAAGAAATCTATTATCATTTTTAGCTTAAATTATTTTTTTCAATTTTTTCGAAATTTCTCAAGTTCTTTGTTCATTCTTTTTTTGTTCATTTCTTGTTCATTTTTTAACAGATTTTGATGTTAAAATGAGCTTGTTTGCTGGATAGTGAGCCGAAAGATTACCCAACGTCGAATGTAGCGTAAAACTGAACACTTTTTCAACAATGACGTCAGCAATATTAAATCCGTCATTTTGAATTTTACAAAATGGTTGATTCATAATCGGCGACACGTGTGTGCAAGTTTTAACAAGTCAGATATCTATATTTTTACGAAATATTGTTTTAAATATGTATAAAATAGTGTACTTGTGCAAAACTTGAAAATTTTCGAAAAAATTGAAAAAATTAATTCAAGCTAAAAATGACGAGATTTCTTCATATTTTGACATAAAAAATAACTATAGAAAATTGGAAACAAATCGGCGTCTGACGCGTTCCCCGAAGTTTACTCGTCAGCGCGCCTGCGTGGACCGGCGCCATTGTGCACATTGCGGCTATCGCCGTCGGCGCAACCAGTCCGCCAGTCGCGAACCGTCCGCTGTGTGTTGCGTTTGAGAGTAGAGAGTGGTGCGCGGCGCTTGTCGTTGCTCATTCATCCATCCAATTCGCAGTGTGGTTTGTGTTTACGTTTGCGTCCGCGTTCGCGATATTCCCGCTCGTATCCGCGGTTACCAACGACAGTGTCTCGTTCGTGTTTCCTCGCGTCGTCTCCGTCATTTTTGCCGCCGCTCCAGGCTTCGCGTTGCCGAGCCGCTTTTCGCCGCTTGTCGGTCTCTCGCGAATGCGTGTGTCTTCGCGAACAAATCGATAGCGAAATCCGTGTGTGACGACGACGACGACGACGGTAGTGTTCCGTGTAGTGATATCAACCGGGTGCTGCTGACTCGGGACGGGCGTGTGGGACACATTCAGGACGCCATAGCGTGAGCTTGACGTTTTCGAGGTATGTACGCGTATCGTAACACCAGTAGGTAGCTCCAGTTTTCCAAAGAGAGAAAGAGAGCGAGTGTGGAACGGACGGACAAAGATCGGCGAACGAACGATCGCACCGGTAGATCGGAGCGCGCGAAACCGCAGGTTTGAACGCGAGCTTGTCACGTTCTCAAATATCGGCCCGAAGCTCCGCAACGACGATGAATCTTACTGCTTCGAGGATATTCGCGAGAGAGAGAGTATCTCGAGACATGTTCGCTTTCTCTTTCCTTCTGTGGATTCGCTCTCTTACGACGCGTCTCTCTTGTCTCTTTCTCAAAATGTCAGAACATTCAAATACTCCGACATCTTGAATATTTGAATATTCCGACATTTTGTCAAACGGTTCGCGCAGCTCCGGCGCTAGAAAATGCAGCAGCACGTTCGTAAATTCCACTGCACGTGCACGTGTCGGTGATATTTGTAGACTTTCTTTATTTGCGAACTTTCTTCATTTTCGCACAGAGGATGTACGAGGAGGTGCGACATTTTTTTTGTTCTTTTAGACAACAGGAACGGGTTAGGTGAATGGCGTTCGGTTTGTCGCGTTGTTTGGGTTTTTTTTTCCCCACGCGTCGTTGTAGTTGTGCTTTTTGCTGCGTCTGTTGCGTTCAATGCTATATTTACGACAGCAATCGGGCTTCGGGGAGGAGGAGAGAAGGGGCATAGGGGAAATCGCGGTAAAAACGAGCGGACGTTGCGTTTTCGAGAAAGCACCGTGGCATGTGGCGGAATGTGAAACGCTGCTCTAATTGAGCTCTCTCTCGCACCGGCCAATCTCCGCCTGGCGATCGATGGAGCGTCGTCGTCGGGCATCGTATTTTCCGCGGCATTACGATACAATATATAACGTTCTCGCGTGTGAACATTCGTCCTGGAATTGTCCGAGCAGCTCGCGATACTTCCGGTCACTCGCTCGCTCGCGTGCGAGTTGCGTTTTTAGGTTAATGTGTCGCTCGACCGCGCCGAGGTAAACAATGTCGCGAGTATCCGCAGGATAATTCAAGAGTGACAGAAACTTTCAGCCTACCACGATCTGCTTGATCCCGGCGAGTAAGGTTGTCGCGTGCTTTCGGAGATTCGCGTGAGAACGGCACAAGTCGCGAAAAAGCGGAGCGACGACATGGCGCGTTCGTTGACACGCGAAGGTAAAAATATGAGCGTTATAACGGAGTTCGCGCAGAAGCAACGCCGAGTCGGCGGCTCTGCAGATTACAGAGGTGCAGGAATATTTTGAGGTTAAGCGTCAGGTGCCTTCTGCTTGACCATCTGCCCTGCGTCGGCTGGAGAAAGTAATTGTGACAATCGCGATTATACGTGTCGCATGAGACGTTTGGTCTGTTCTTTGTAGCTGCACTGCTGAACTGGTGCAATAAACTAGAGAGTGAGAAAACCTATATTTATCTCACTTTAACTTATTGCATCAGTTCAACAGTGCAGCTACAAAGAACAGACCAATAATTCCGCGAGATTGAGATCCGAGCGAAATTGGATTTAAAATGGAGCGAAACGGAAGGATTGCGGCTCGCTGTATTGTGAGCCTGGAAATTGGCGAACCACCAACTGGTCGTGCAGCAAACGGAATGATTTCAAAAGCAAGCACAGTCGTTAAACGCTTATTCAACGCGTGTCCGTTGGAGGAGAAAAATGTCGCCGCAACTCGCGGGAGATTTTTACGTACGCCGATACGTCAGTTTTACGAAGAAGTATCGGCTCGTCTGTCGAGATGTCGTTATAAGAAATGACGTTACGCTCTCGCGACGAGTAGGGATTCTTCGCAACGATTCTCTCAAAATATCGATGACGATATTATCGTCATTCAGAACCATCGATAACGATAATATCGATAATTTTGAAAAATATCGATATTTATATAAAAAAAATGTATACATGTAGGGGTATACATATAGGCGTGTGAAGGGTGGTATACATGACAAATTTAAAAAGATCTTTTAAAAATTGTTATCTTCATATAATTTATTGTCATATTCTTATTAGAAAATATATAATAAACTGCATCTCGGTCGTAGAACCGTAATAGGCCCCAGAGCTGTAACTGAAAAATACGAAATATCAGTAAAATTCATATCGATAAATATTCGATATTTGTCTTTCGATATTTCGATATTATCGATTTATCGTTGCATTCCTAGCGACGAGACATCGCGTCGCTCATGTCGCGGATTCTCTCCTGTGCCGTGATTTTGCTACTAAAGGCGCGCATGGCGTAAATGGCGGGTCGAAGGTCAAGATCGCGTGTCGTAATAGCGAATTGGTCTCTCGTAACATGCATGTGACGATTGCGCTACGTAACAAACCCGACCCGAGCGGTCGCCGGTGCAAAGTTTCTGACGACGGACTGACGTAACACGATAACAAAGGGAGTAGATGCGGTCTCGTTGGTCTAATTTCGTCGTTACAACCGCCGCTGTAAAGTGTAATATCGCGGTTTCTGTCTCACCGCAGCGGCTCGCAATTTCGAGCCGGCAGTATAAAAAGCGTATCGATAACGCCCAGGTTGAAAGAGAGGCATCGGCTGCGCCTTCTGCCTGAATAAGGCGAGCTTATTAATTAGTGGCGATTAGTGGCGAGACCATAGAGATGTGCGAATCAAGAATTTTTATATCGAATCGAATGGAATCTCATTTTTTTAATTCGAATTTGAATCGGATCGAATGAAATCGAATCGAATCATGAAAAAAATTTAACATCACTACTATATGCAAATAATGATGGAAGATTTTAATATGAAAGGGAATATTTGGATATTGTAACATCATCTTAAAGTAAAATATATGTTTAAATATTATAAAGTAATTTATAATTAAGTTATTAATTATAAGTTAAGTTAATTACAAGTTAAGGGTTCAAACATATAGGCCCAGATTGCCCGTTTCGTAACTGATGCGCGCGCAAACGCTTATGTATTTCATTCGTATTCGAATCTTCGCGATTCGAAATTTTCCAATTGTTCGGATTCGGATTCGAATTCGAATAGTTTTCGCACATCTCTAGTGACGACCGATACCAATATTTATACCCAATATTTATATCTCATCTCCATCGTAGTGATGCTGGTTGTTTGGCAAGGAGCTCGCCGTTGCCTGAGTTGCAGCGGGCAGCGCACCAATCAGTTCCATCAAAAGCATCGTCGCGAGCCCGTCAGCGAGAAGCTCGGCCGCTATCAGCTCGTCAGATCCAGGTAGGATCCTGATTCTTTTTGCTTTTCTCATTGACCGCTGCGTCATGTCGCGCTACAGTCACGTCTATTATTCCCCGTGGTTCACCTCTTCGAGGGAAAACCACAGGATGCACAGCTCCACAAACGTGATCTCTGCGTAATGTTTGATGTATCAATTATTTTTTAAGTAATCAAGTATTACACGTACAAACATCTAGAAGCCACGATTCTTCGATTTGACGCCGGCGTCCGGAAATTAATTTTGCAGAAAGTTGATGCAAAATGCTCGCGATTTTGTTGGAAAAGAATTACGACAGAAGCGAGTGATTATTAAGCAACAATTACTCGCTTATGACGTATAATTCTTTGCCGGTGAAATCGCAATTATTTTGGATTAATTTCCAGTAAGATTAATTCCTCTGTAAAATATATATATATATACATATGTACATACATTATTCGGTATTTAATCGTCGACTCGGTATTTAATTTCGCTTATTTACGGAGAACGTGGGTAATCTTACGTCGACGATATATACAAGACGAAAGGCAAATTATATCGTCGACGCAAGATTACGCACGTTCCGTAAATAAACGTCCGTAAAAAAACTGCGAAATTAAAACAGACCGAGTTTTAGTTTCGCAGACGAGTCGACAGATATCGGGACGGATTTTTCTCCGTCGTTATCTTTCGGGCCGTGCGATCGAAGCGCGCAATTGATCGTCTCTAATCGCACTCGGCGAGCTTCGCGCACGTATAATTGCGCATACATATGCATGGTACGCGCGCACGTGTATGCGTGTAAACTCGTGGAACAGTCTTCGTAGGCGTCTTGTGTCAACGGACTCGGACAGAGACGAGTAATTTTCTCCGTCTTGCCGCGCGTCGATTCGGCCGTTTAATCGCGACGTTACGCGGAGGGGAAAATTTTCCGACGGCGATTTTCGACGAGAAAAGAAAGATACTCTCGAGCGAGTCTCGGGGAAGGACTCTCGACGCTCCCGCAATTTCGAGCTTACCCTCGCTGGCAACACTTTTTTGAGTCATCGAGAATTTGACGTCACAGCAGGAAACTCCAGACGGGAGATAGCGATGCGCCGATTTGGAAGATCGTCGTACGTCTCATTGCGAAATTTGTCATCCGCGGCGTCGATCGGCGCTGCTTTGCTCACACTTGGCCTGAAATTTTGCGAGCAGTCGATATCGAAGGCGTTAGACAATATTGGAGAAGAAAGAGAGAGAGAGGGCGAGAAATAGTTATGTCTAATTATATATATTTTTTTCTTGGAAATTCATCGGTTCTTCGTTTTTCTAAAGGTCATTCTCGCGGACGCGCGATATTACGAATAAATTCGTCCGCGATATCGAATCGAATCGAATTTTACGCGCGGCAGCGCGCTTTGTTTTCGCAATCGGCACTCTTTAGAACACGGTCGCGAATTTCTTTCCCCACGTGCGTGACTTGAGCTTCGCGGCATCAGGACAAGACACACGCCGATACTTTTCCTTTCCTTTTCATCGACAGCACATCGGCCACGTGCGCGTGATCGTACGCGGCACACGTGACACGATAGAAACCTGATTAGCGTTTTTCTTGGCCCCCGGCGGCACGTTCCTCCATTATCGTCATATCGCGCGATCGTGCGGCGGGGACGCGAGTAAAGCGTAATACGCGTGCCTTCGCCCCGAGTTTTGGGTTTATTCCGATCGCGTGGGGAGGCAAAAGCCTCGACCTCTAATTAGCCTCCTCCTCGTTTTAGAGCGTATGCGTGCAGCGACAACGGTACCGCCGATGACGATGACGACGCTGAGGACGCGTGTCCCTCTCTCAGCGGCCGAAACTACGTTGTTACGGAGATACATTGGCGGTTATACGATAATTGACGCGTCGTCGTCGATTATAAAAGCCTTCGATTCGCGCGTCCCTAGCTCGTCAGTCAGTCAGTCAGTCAGCACACGCCGATGCGTCGGGACACTCTTTTGCATACGCACGCCCTCGGCTTGAGTTTCACGCGTCAAGCAGTTTCCCGCACGATCTCGCCGACACGTTACCGTTATCGCGTAAAGCGAATCGCGAAATCCGCAATCGGTTCTCGCGAGGTCACGCGCGTGCGAGAGAAATATTAAGCGCGAGGCGAGGATATAGGAGGGAACTTTTTCAGACAGATTTTGCAACCCGTCTTCGTTTCGCATCGAGAACTCGGGGTCACCCCCGCGGCTCTCGACGAAGAGTAGTCCCCCTCGGTCCCGAGTCGGTGCGTTTCCGATTCAGTCGTAGGGTTGCCAAATCCAAAAGTCAAAATTACCGGACATTTCTTCTTCGGTAACAAACCCAAAGCGGACAGAAATAATAATCATAACGTTACATTAAATACAAAATATGACGAGAATTTAATTACAATATTAATTTCCAAACAATTTTATCAACAAGATTTGATTGAATAAAATAATAAACTATTACTTTTTTAATATATATGGAATGACGGGTCGGCAGATCATCATCTACTAGATGGCTTTTCGTGGCGCTCGCGATCGTTTGTAGGCGCTTGAAACGGAGAAACGTTGCTAAAATCTGAACTCTCATTTCATTGATATCGGATATAACTTAAAAGCCGGACATATGACGTCCGGACATTTGACTTATTAACCGGACACTGGACAAGACTTCTGAAAGCCTGACAATCCGGCTCAAACCCGGGCAATTGGCAACCCTATTCAATCGCGCTAAACGACGAATTCTCGCGAGTGAGCCAAGACGCGATATGATCGTCCTTCGCGGACGAAGGATCGCAGAGGATCATCGCGTGCTACGACGTTATGTGTGTGTGTGTGCAACCTCGTGCAGTGAACAAGATCGTCGCGCGATCGCGGCCGCAATAACGGAGCGCCGTGGACTTTATTTCGCGACGTGCAATTGAACTCTGCGCGTCGAGGAAAGTTTGCTCTCGCAAGCACGTATCGCTTTTCCGCGGGCGACGGTCCCAGGCGAGGTTAAGGACACCGCAGCGGGAAGGAGTCGAAGGCTGTTGTTCGTTACGGTACGTACAAGGTTCCCTTGTTAATTGATAGTCGAGACACGGCAGGCGAGCTTCGCGATTTTTACTCACAGCGGAAATACCCCCTCGGGCGCTCCTCGTCAGCCTCGTGCGTCCTTCTTTTTCTTTTTTCTCCCCCCGGCGTGAGATCACCTTCCCCGCGGATATCTCTTTGTTTTTATCTCTGCCTCCTTTGATACCACCTGCAATGAAAAGCGCGACAATTTAGGAAGCCACCTTGTACACCGGACGTACGCAAGTGAACGAACGCGTTGCGTGTGCGCTGTCGAAAAGTCGAAATGAGAAATTCCGCCCCCCCTCCCTCCCTCCCTCTCCCGGGCCGGCGGGGGCCGGCTGTTCGACCGATAGAAGAGAAAGACGGTCATTTCTCAAGAGTCGTTCTTCATTGTGCAATTTCTCCGTCAAGCTCCCGCTACGTGTGCGTGCGTACGTGTGCGCGTAGTGAAGGGGGGGAGGAGGGAAGGACTGGACGGATGTCAGTCGGTTGCTGTTGTTAGCGAACGGTATTTTTGAAAACACCCGTCGGAATGCGGTTAGGGCAGAATTTCACGGCTTCACCGAAGCTGTTATCCCCCACGGCAGTTGACCTTCGTTCCCCTAGAACGAAAATAAGTTTGATACCTGTTTGTGCTTAATGATTTGCGATGATAAGCACTCGCCTGTCTGTCTCGTTCTCGTTTAACACCAATTAACGCTAACGATCGTATGATCCGTTCTGGACTCTGCACGGATGAATAGGAAAAATTGCAAGCCGCTCTCCTCGCTTCTCTCTCTCTCTCTCTCTCTCTCTCTCTCTCTCTTTTCATTTGTCATTATCCACTGGAAGAACATCCTCTCGTCTCCTCTCGGCGTTCTCAGTCCCGAACTCGAGTGCTGTTGGCACGCTTTCCTGCGGAGCGACAGGGTATATCCAGCACACATCTATCCGTAGAAAGAAGAGGGAGGGGCGGGAGAGAACGAAATAAAGAGAGAAAGACAGGCAAGGAGAGAGAGAGAGAGAGAAAGAGAGAGAGAGAGAGAGAGTGCGAGAGGGGGAGGGTAGTGACTGACGGTGAGTGGGATTTTGTGCAGTGCCGGCGTTAAACACATTGTAACCCCAAGTACGATAAAATAACGCAAAGTCTCTCCCCCCTTTTCTCCCTCTTTCTCCAATGAACGACGCGATGGAGAAGAGAAGTCAAAAGCGCGGTTCAAAACTCGCGAGAATCGCGCACAAGTTGTTTCTTCGGGGGTAACGCGCGACACCGCTTGTAACTCCCGTCCCTGGGAACTCCCGGGACAAAATCTTCGAGACTTGCTCGAGTCTTGCTCGACTCGCGCGGAAAATCAAGATCAAGCGAAACAACGCCTTCCGCTTCCGGCTCGGTCATGTCTGCGCGTCCAACTTGGAGCGCGCGACAGCGACGAGCTCGTTAAACGAGGAGTTCTGCTCAAAGTACAAGATCGATAACGCTACAATGCCGGATAACGATACGATGTCGAGCGTAATCGACGAGATAACGATCTCGGCGACCGCGGTCGACGGCCATGGTTATCCCAGACGCGCGGCAGGAAATTCCCCGAGGCGAGGCGGACGTATTACCGGCGTATTATTTGCAAATGTAAATCCGGCCCTGACGACCGTCGAGAAAGACGAGAGAGAGAGAGAGAGAGAGAGAGAGAGAGAGAGAGAGAGAGAGAAAGAGAGAGAGAGATGGGGAGACAGACTTGATTCCGACTCGCGCGACTCGCGGAGCCAGTCACGTACGAAACTCACAGCACCGAGCACGCCGAAACGGTCACACACGTAGCTCTCGGCAGCAACGGCACGAATCGGTTTCATCATCGATCGATCCTTCGCTCTCGCGAGTCGAGCAAATCTCACGCGAAAATACTCGCCGAGTCGATCGTACCGGGTCGATCTCGATCGACCGATCTCGCGACCCTCTCGAACTCTCGCGTCGCGCTCCTCGCAGTGTGCTCGA